ACGCTTCTGGCTTTGAAGTCTTTGTTGCTAAGCAACATCTTAAATAACATGTAAGGAGAATTTCATTATTGATCAAATAAATAAACTTTGTTGTTGCCCTATAATTTCTTCTTATATTATAAAAGAATTAAAAAAGCTCGTCGCGTGCCTTTATGGTGTAATAATGCACTCGGGGAAATGTTGGGAGAATACTCGAGAAGCTTGTAAAACACTCGGCTACGCCTCGTGTTTTACAAGCTTCTCTCGTATTCTCCCAACATTCCCCCATCGTGCATTATTACACCATAAAGGCACGCGACTCGTTTTTTAATTCTTAAATAAAAATATGACCAACAGATCAGGAACCGATCATAACGCGATATTTCCTCTTGCAAATCTAAAAGAGAAAAGAAGAAGACCCGTAGTTCGAAAAAGGGGGGGAGGTGGGATTGTTATATCTCACTTCTGTGTTCTCATATAATCTTGACTTTACTGCGGGCGTTTCGCGCCCTTGCAAAATCCCCAATTATATTTCGAACACAGAAGTTCGATATAACAATGCTTGTTTAAAGCTGGGTGAAAACACAACTTAATTCAGTTAGCTCCCAAGTTATTAAGCTAGGAAAGAACCGCCCGAGCATAACCATCACTAAACGACGGACGATAATAGAAACGAGTAAAGGAGGACGATCCGGACCAATCAGCCATGCGCAAAACCTCCTCCAAGGAGACACCTCCCGTTGCAGCTTTTGACGTCGATGCGGACCGCGTAGAATGACTCTTGAAGATATTGGTATCGATTCCAGCGATAGCCAGAATGGATTTAATCCAACGTGCAATGGAACATGACTGAACCGGATGGTGTGGTCTATGGTAGCTAATCAAGAGCTGCCGTTCGATATTAGGACGCAAAGGTGGGCGAAAAACTCTAGTGCGGGCAATGTAAGAATCTAGACAGCGCACTACACAAAACCCTGTGTAGGCCACACTGGTGTGATTAAAATCAACTCTCCCCTTCGGCCCTCAGCTTCGCCAGCGAGCGCATGATTAGGCAAAATGGGGGAAAAGCGTAATTCCTTCCCACCGACTAGTCCTGTTGAAGGGCATCTGAGGCGAGGGCTAACGGGTCCGGCCTCCAACTGAAGAACTGGGGTAGCTGCGAGTTCAGACGATCGGCAAAAAGATCGATCATACAAGGCCCTCGAATCCGCATCAGGGAGCTTAAGATCTCCGGGCAAAGCTTCCAGTTGCTCGAATATAGGAAATTGCGTGACTCCCAATCGGCCGAGATGTTCAGAGATCCCGCAAGGTGTTCGGCACTGAGGAAAATGTTGCGTGCCAAGGCCCATTCCCAAAGAGCTAGGGCAAGGTTGGAGAGGACTAATGACCGTGTTCCTCCCAGGCGGTTGAGGTACGCCACTGCAGAAGTATTGTCCATACGCAGGCGCACATGAACACACAAACGGTCTTTCACAAAGCTCTTGACCGCAAACGAACCGGCCAGAAGTTCCAGACAGTTGATGTGGAGCTTCCTCTCCATCTGGGACCACAAACCGCCTGTTCTGACTCCTTGACAAACAGCGCCCCAACCCAACCGAGATGCATCGGTCTCGATTACGACATCCGGGGACGGGTGAAGAAGCGCCCGTCCGTTCCAGGCGTCCAAATGTGCTAGCCACCATCGAAGTTCGTCCGTTGCCTCAAAGGAAAGAGCTATTCTCGAGTCGAAATTCCCTTGTTGGGCTAGATCTTTGTGTTTCAAGCGTTGCAAGTGGCGATAATGCAGTGGGGCCGGAAAAACGGCCTGTATTGAGGCCGTTAACTTGCCTATCAACTGGGATAACTCCCTCACTGAAACATTTTGCTGCGAAAGAAGAGTGGAGCAAATCTCTCTGATTGACGTTACCTTGCAATCTGGCAGGAGCATAGTCATACCCCGGGAATTCACGACAAACCCGAGAAATTCTATTTGTTGTGTTGGTTGGAAACACGATTTCTCGGGGTTTATTACAAACCCAAGGTTCTCTAATAGATACTGAGCTGTAATCATGTCCTGTTGTAGACCCTCTTTGGACGTGTTCATAAAGAGAATGTCGTCCAAATAAATTATCAATCGAACACCGGATCTCCGCAGAAGTGCCACAACTGGCTTCATGATCTTTGTAAACACCCTCGGGGCTACAGCTAGGCCGAACGGAAGGCATGTGAACTCGAGGAGAGTTTTTCCAAACAAAGCGAAGATACTTCCTGTGGTTCCTTCAAATGGGAATCACAAAGTACGCATCCTTCAGATCGATCTTGCCCAGCCAATCGTTTGGCTGGAGTAAGTCGCGCAAGAGATGGATCCCTTCCATTTTGAAGTGATCGTACTGAAAAAACACATTTAGATCTTTTAAATTGATAACAGGACGAGAATTTCCGTCGCGTTTTGGAACTAGAAATATACTGCTTACAAATTGGTCGGGAACTGGACCGGTAACGTGTAAAGCTCCTTCTTCCTGAAGAAGAGCTATCTCGGAGTCGACCTTCTCTGACTCTAGCTGAGAAAAAACCAAAGGTGCCTTGGCCCTGGTTTGAATCGGCGGGGCCGTAAAGGGGAGTTTGTAGCCCGACACCGTGTCTAGAATCTCCGGATCTAGAGTTATTTGCCTCCAGTTGAGAAGAAAATGAACCAGCCGTCCTGCGAGCTTTGCTGGAGGAGCAATGATCGAAAATTATCTTTAAACGACTCGAAGGCAGTACGTTTACCTGCGAGTCCAGTTCCCGAGCCTTTTGTAAGGCGGGTACATGCAACATTGGTTGGACTTTTGCAATACCTGTTAGATTTTGTTCTCTGCCGGACGTGCGAACTGTGTCGCATGGCTTTTTCCCCGACGATACGAGTGCTGGCCTCCACGGTTTGAGAATCTCTGGCCCCACGGGCGAGTATTGAAGCCCGGGCCTTTCCCGGGCTGGAAACGAAAAGGCTTCGACTTGTTGTTGCCATGGTAACAAGCTCGTCCTACTAACGAATCAAGCTCTTTCGAAAGCTTCAGCTCTTTAAGAAAAGATTTCTTAAATTTCTTCCCAAACAGGTCGGTAGAACCTTGAGAAAACAAGGACTGATCCTCGAGAAGATCTAATGAATCCGAAGAAATTTTCGCCAAAAGCCCTTTTCGGCGATCAGCGAGAGCACAAAAGCTCGCATTCCCGGTCAAAGCAACGGCACGTTGAACCAGCTCGACCACTTCAGCCGGATCCAAACCCGTTTTACTTTGCTCTGCTAAAAGGGCTTTTTGCCAAAGCTGGGCTAAAGGCCCAAGAGGATCCAAAATACGCCCGGCAATGTTCATTTGACGTCGGTCCATGACCGGGTTAAAAGGCGTACCGTTTCTTTTTAGGTATTTTTTAAAAAGAGTCAACTTTTTTAGGCCGTAATCAGCATGATGAGGCATTGGCGTATCTTTCAAAAGGTCTTTACGAGCGTTCTTAGAAAGGCCGTTAAAAGCAGCCTCCGCTGCGAAATCAACTATTGAGGTGTCAAGGGAATAGTCAAGTTCCGCAGAAGTGCTCGCGATTTGACACGAAGAGTTGTTTTAGCGGGACAAAAAGTCCGATTCAGTATCAGAGCTACTGCTCGTGCTCGAGGAACTTTCACTCGATCCTGAAGTGGAGTACGAACGCGAAAACTTACTTCGCTTACTCCTAGCCTTTTTTGACGAATGTTTGTGCTTTGTATGAGATGAATGTCTCCGTTTTGTTGTCGAAGCCGAAGGGCTCTGAGACACGGTTTTACTCGGCCGGTCAGCCGGCGTTTTTTCTCGCGACACAGCTCGCGGAGCACTCTCAGTTTCCACAGAAACATTTTCCATAGTGGCCTGAGCCATCTATAAAGCACAATATTTATAAATAACCACGAAAATAGACTCAAATGCGAAAGGTAGTCCTTAGAGCGACAAAATATCAACCGTTTTCGGTGAGCTGATGAAGAACTGAAGAGTTGGTTGCTAGGAGACGGTGTAAACATAGCTAGTGACGTTTATTTTAGTACCTAGTCCTTCATCAGCTGTATTCGGTGTTTTGATAAGAATAAAGCATTGTTATATCGAACTTCTGTGTTCGAAATATAATAGAGTATATATATCCAAGTTTAGATATAGGAAAATTTTTTTATATATTTTATAGAACCGATCGATGTAAATTCTTATAATATTTTTAATGTAATACCGCTGTAATTCTTTGCCAAAGGCGGTAAATAAAATCTATTATTATAGAACTGATCTCGCTAATCTCACTGACCTCGCGCGACGCTCATGTTGTCTGAACAGTCTTATATCATAACAGTCTTATATTATTATTATAGTCATAATATAAGACTGTTCAGACAACATGAGCGTCGCGCGAGGTCAGCGAGATTAGCGAGATCAGTTCTGGGCCGCCTATGCTTATACTATGCGCTGCAGCATTTTTGCCGGCTCTTTCGCCAGCCAGTCGCCAAGCAAGCACTGAAATGGCTTCCAAAACTTTGTTTTTTACTCATTAAATAAGAATGATACAGTAATATAAACAAAAATCAAAGATGAATAAATATAATATTCACATGTACCAAATAATGCACTTCTTCGTCTAATCTCCGTCGATATTTTTCGTGTAAAAAATAAAAGTGCAAGCTTGTTTTTGTTCACGAATATGAGAGTTGGACCGTTACTACGGCAACGGTCTAATACTGGGGGATTTGCCAGACCGGCAAAGAACCAATCAGCGCACGCCATTTTAGTCACGAGACCGCGTGCAATATAATAAATAATAATATTATTTCATTTATTTTTTTTGTTCATGGCATTGGTTTACTTCCCCCCAGTACGGTAATAGTTGAAAAAGGCCAGCCTACCAAATAATCCAAAAATTTTGGATTATTTTGAAATCACGTGAGCAGACTTTGCCAGGCATCTTCCCTTCTTCCCTTCCCTCCCCAGCGAGTAAAAACAACAAAAGAGCCGGAGGGTACGAGGTTGAGTAAATGACAATAGAAGAGCACTTACCTTCAGTGTGATGAAATAGCGACAGGTAGAAAACGTTTACACGATCTTTCAATACCTTGAAATTGTCTTGATTTCCTATAAATTCGTCGCTTTGAATTACTTGAAGAATATTGTCGAAAACATCGCGAACATATCTAAGCATTATACTTTTATCACATTCCATGTGTGCCACCAAAAATCTGCTATTCGCTTGAGGTAAAATCAATGGACAATAACAATAGACTATTGCAATTAGACTATAACGAGTACTTCATGTTACGCATATGATTATGGCATATAATACGATTCTACTGTACCGTCATACTGCTCCAAATCACTGATGCATAAACCATGTTTCAACACGCACACAAGCGATATCAATAGGTAATTTTTTTAGATAATTAAAATTAAATACAAAATAAACTTCCAGTGTCCGTGTGGAAAAACATTGTGGTCAATTTCTGAATTTTTCACGTGTTCTTTTTCTTTTCCGTAGGCTCATGTTCACGTAATACTTCATGCTTTCCCCTAATGCAGCATACTAAATCAGTAAATGTCTCAAATCTAGTACCCTATACAAAGACTTTCAACCATTCCAACACACCGGGAGGATGGGGTCGAAACGATGTACTCTAAAAAACGTAACGAAATTTAAACTAGTTCCTATTGTGAGCTCAACGGACACGATTGAAAAAAATGCAAAAATGGCTGCTGCTACGCTGCATCTATTATTGTAAATAGAACCGGATGTAAATAGAACCGGATGTGAATAGAACCGGAAGTTAGATCTTAGATCATAGTTTTGATTGACATTTAACTTTAACGTTAGGAGAAAAAGCGGCAACTTCGATCTCGGACAGAAAAGTCAAACTGTTATTAAAAGCTAACCTGATATTTAAGATATAAGCTAACCTGAAACGATGTAGCTGAGATGTAAACGTGGAAGCCCCACAGAAGTGAGTACAGATGATATGTTTTGTAAATAGAGATACACATTAACGTCATAACGGTCATAATATTATTTCATTTTAGATCGAATAAAAAATATTATACGATTCGGTGTAAACCACGTTTATTCAAGGCTGTCGCGCTCGGAGCGCTCCATCATTCGATTTCTATGTAGACAAATAATAAACTCATCAAAGAGTGCGACGAGCTAGGCACAGAACGGTTCATATTTACAGCTACAATGTCCGAAAATAATACATCAAAGGAAGCTAAGATCGGGCGTCGAAACGCTAAAGCGGCGTTAACTAGAGCGGGGAAAGCATTGAGATATGCACTACAGGAAAGGCGACCGGCTGAAGAGATTAGACAATCGCTTACCAAGCTGCAAGAAGCATACGAGAAGTTGATAATTAAGCATGAAAATTTCACAAAATTAATCGAGGACGATGTGGAGTTCGAACGGGAAGAAGCATGGTTAGAAGAATGCCAGGACATGTTTATGAAATGTGAAACAGAGGGCAATTTGCATTTAGAAAGTATCGAGAAACAGAAGGAAGAAAGTTTACCAGCCGTGCAACCTGTCGGAAGCGACACTCAAAACGAAAATACAGTGCAACAAAGTGAGAATAATAACGATGAGTTGGTGACGGCCGCTGAAAACGACGATCAGCAGGCCTCAAGCGCACCCCCGACCAGACGAGAAGCTGGTGCGATGGGGGGAGATTCACCCACTGATAACAGCACATGTGCGTTTAAAATGCAAAAACCAAAGATGCCTAGATTTTCGGGAGACGTAAGAGAGTACGCGATATTTAGGTCAGATTTCAAGCACGCCATCGAAACTAAATACTCCAAACGTGATGCTATAACATTTCTACGAACATGTTTGGACGGAAAACCGCTTGAGTTAATTAGAGGTATTGGCACTAACTATGACGCAGCGTGGGAGTACTTGGAGTCGATCTATGGAGACCCCAGAGTAGTATCAGATACAATCATGCAAGATATTGTTAAGTTTAAAGCGCTCAACGATGACGAGGATGCCAGATTTTGCGAACTAGTAAATTTAGTAAAGAGAAGCTATAATACGCTGAAGGAGGTGGGTTTGCCGAATGATATGGACAACAGCCATGTACTAGCAATTATCGAAAACAAGATGTGCTGTGACGACCGAAGTCTGGTCACGTGATCTTGAGAAAAGGAGCGAACAAGCAACGCTGCATGGTTTGATGACATGGATGAGTGTGGAGATGAAGTCTAGAATGAGAGCCTCTGCACCATTACAAACAAGCGGAAAGCATTCATTCCACCATGTAAAGAGATCGTTAGAAGGAGAAGACGGAAAGACGAGCTACCGTTGTTGGCTTTGCAAAACCTCATTACACTGGCTAGATCAATGCCCCAAGTTTGCATCCCTCAGTCTAGACCAACGCCTACAACAAGCAAAGGAGAATCATGCCTGTTACAGTTGTTTGAAGAGGGCTGATAGAAATCACAAAATGTCGAACTGTTCTCGAAGGAAGCAATGCACAGAGAAAGAAAACGATGTCCAATGCGTCCATTTTCGCCATCCCCTTCTATACAGAAGCGCCAACCAACGAGCAATTATCACATCAGTGACAACAAACCAAGAAGCCCTACTTCCTGTGATTTCAGCTAATATCAGTGGAGAAAACAACCTGTATAAGCGGGGCAACGTACTTCTGGACTCGGGAGCGCAGTTGAGCCTGATACGACAAAAAACAGCGGAAAGTCTCGGCCTGACAGGCACAGACGTCTCCATTACATTGACAAAAGTTGGAGGTGAAGAGCAGGAGATCACAACGAAAGCATATAAAGTTCAAGTTGGCTCACCGGATAGCAAAACAAAGTTTGTCATAAAAGCAATCGGTATTCCTACTATCAGTGACGATATTTTAGGAACTGACACAAAGGAGATCGTAAGACAGCTAGAACTAAAGAAAAGGATTAATCGGGGTAAAGGACAAGTCGATATTCTTATCGGTATCGACCACCCTCGAATGCACACTGGAGAAACCAAGCAGGCGGGTGATTTGATAGCAAGAAAATCACCTTTAGGATGGGTTGTATTCGGAGCAAAACCAAGAGAGACAGTGCTAGCTAGCCAAATCTTCCATATCAAATACACAGCCCCTGTTGACTTATCAGAATTCTGGACTACAGAATCAATGGGAGTAGCAGTAAGATCATGCAGATGTACCACAAATAACCTCAGCCCGATCGAAATAGAAGAAGCAAAGAATATCGAGGATTTGTGCAAGAAAGTGGATAATCAATGGATGGTGTCATACCCCTGGAGGATTGACCCAAAGGAATTACCCGATAACAGAAATCAGGCAATGAGAAGACTCGAAGCGACAGAACGCAGACTCCAGAAGAACCAACAGTACGCGAAGGCCTACGATAAGCAAATAACAGAGATGAATGAACTGAAGTTTTCAAGAAAGCTTACAGAGAAAGAAATAAGGGAATATCAAGGTCCTGTTCATTACATAGCCCACCACTCCGTTCTTAAACCAGAAAGTAAAAGTACCCCACTCCGAATTATCTTTAATTCGTCTTCTGTATACCAAGGACGCTGCCTCAACCATTATTGGCTAAAGGGCCCAGATTTGCTGAATAACCTCTTTGGAGTGATCCTTCGGTTTAGAGAAAATAGAGTAGCCTTGAGTGCTGATATTTCCAAAATGTACCACAGAGTGCGCATTCTAATTGAAGATCAGCACGTGCACAGATTTTTATGGAGGAACATGCAAGTTGACAGACAACCTGATACGTACGCAATGAATGTCCTCACTTTTGGTGATAAACCGGCGCCGGCAATGGCGCAAATAGCACTAAAGAAGACGGCTGAAGAAGGCGAGACATCAAATCCAAGAGCAGCACGGACGGTGAAAGATAATACGTATATGGACGACATATTAGACTCAGTCGACACGGTGGAAGAAGCGAAAGAACTGTCCAGCTCAATTGATGTTATACTTGCGAACGGTGGTTTCAATGTGAAAGAATGGCGATCAAATGAAGATCTGCATAAAAACGTCCCGACACAACAAGTGGAGGAAATTCCGGTTTTGCAAGGAAAACCAGAAGAAAAGATGTTAGGGGTCGGCTGGAACAATGCGAACGATGTTCTTAAATACAAAGTTGAACCAAATATCCTCGATTCACAACCACCAAAGCTAACAAAGAGAAGAATTCTCAGCCAGATATCACGTGTATACGATCCGATAGGACTCACATCAGCGTTCCTTATCCGAGCGAAGGTGGGGATCCAAGAGTTATGGCAGAAAGGCATTGGCTGGGATGACGAGCTCTCGACTGAATCTCGAGAACAATGGGTATCATTCTTCGAAGAAATGAAGCAGTTAAGCGACATCGTCTTGGAGAGATGTTTATGTCCATTTATCACCGTTGAGCTTCCGACACTTTGTGTCTTTGCGGATGCATCCCGTTGTGCATTCGGAACGTGCGCATATATTAGAAACGTGGATTCGAGTGGTTCAATCGAAGTGAGATTTGTCGCCGCTAAGTCGCGAGTGGCACCACTGAAGGAGCTAAGTATTCCGAGACTCGAACTTCAGGCGGCAGTATTAGCAAGTAGACTATGTAAGAGTATACAAGAAGAAACACGAGTGGAATTTGAAGAAATCATTCTGTTTACGGACAGCACAATCACATTGGCTTGGATCCGTAGCAAAGAGAGACGTTTCAAGCCGTTCGTATCAAACAGAGTCGGGGAGATACAAAGCAATGTACAGCCCTGTCAATGGAGACATATCCCAAGTGAACACAATGTAGCAGACGATGTCTCTCGCGGGATAAAAGCATCTGAATTATCTGGTAGATGGAAAGAAGGCCCAGAATTCCTACGCAGACCCAAAGAGGAATGGCCACAAGAAGATCTGAAACCAGATGTCATTGAAATCGAGAAAGAAGTTAGGAAGAAACAGATGGTGGCGTCAGCAGCAGTAACAAAGAGTGTTATCGATTGCAACACATATTCGAGTTGGAAGAAGTTAGTTAGAGTCACGTCATGGGTACTACGACTGAAGAGTAACTTACTCTCGAGAATGAAGCGTGACGATGGAGCCAGACAAGGACCGCTGACAGCAGAGGAACTTGAACTTGGTCGCATTTATTGGATCAAATTGGCCCAGATGAGCTTGAAAGAGAGGCTGAAACGAAACGACTTCAAGGCATTGTCCCCATTCGTTGATCCTGGGAGCATTATACGAGTTGGAGGACGCGTGGATAACGCTGTCGTTTCTTACGAAACGAGGCATCCTGCCTTGTTACCATATCATCACAGAATATCTCGTCTCATTACCGAAGAAGCCCACCGGTGTGGACATTCGGGAATTGCAACAACAACAGCCAAAACAAGACGAATGTATTGGATAATAAGAGCCCACGACCTCGCTAAAGCTGTCAAGTACAAGTGTGTCGTTTGCAAAGCAATGGAACCCAAAGCGGAGTCTCATCAATTTATGGCTAATCTACCACCTCAACGTCTAGCCCCACAATCACCACCATTTCATTATACATCATGTCTAAATGCGCGTGCCGTCTACCTGGAGATAGCAACAGACTGTACTGCAATGGAGTTTATTCAAACTCTCAGAAGATTCTTTGCGATCAGAGGTTATCCCGCACTGATCCTGAGTGATAACGGCACAAATCTGGTCGGTGCGGTTACAGAACTTAGAAAGATGATTAAGGTAAGAAGAAACTCCATGAATATTGTGCGGACAAAGGAATTCAATGGAAGTTCACGACGTCAGGTGCCCCACACCAAAACGGGTGTGCAGAATCCCTAATAAAGAGTTGTAAACGAGCATTAAAGATAGCGATTGGTGATCAGGTCCTCACACCTTTCGAACTGTACACATGTTTCTTAGAAGTGGGAAATCTCGTGAATCAACGCCCCATCGGTCGTGTCCCAAATGACCCCGATGACGGGTCTTACATCTGTCCCAATGATTTGCTTCTCGGACGGGCGTCGCCACGTGCGCCCCAAGGTCCCTTTGAGGAAAGCAGGAATCCCAGACGTAGAGTCGAATTTGTACAGAAGATCGTTAACTCGTTTTGGAAGCGATGGGTTAGGGACGTATTCCTCCTACTGGTACCGCGGAAGAAGTGGAACGTAGAGAAACGAAATGTTAAAATCGACGACTTCGTAATCGTAGCGGATAACAACGCAGTGAGGGGAAATTGGATCAGCGGAAGAATAATCGAAGTTTATCCAGGACAAGACGGGAGAGTGAGAAACGTGAAAGTGAAAACACCTACAGGAGAATATTCAAGACCGATCACAAAGATCGTGGTGATCCAGCCAGCAGAAGGCGATGACAATGAAAAGTTAAGAGAATAAGTATTTCATTGGGGGGAGAATGCTACGCTGCATCTATTACAATATGGCAGCACGATACGGAGTAACTCCTGTTATATGGTTAATTTTCTGCCTTGTTAATGGGATGTTGTTGCTAAATATTAGAAAAGATACTGTAGTGGTTAATATTGAAAGAATATGGGTGTATAATGGGCTGTTATTTGCTGAAGACAGTGAAGTTCTGGCTCGTTTTGTATGGTATCGTCCGATTAAAGCTACGGCAATAAAATGGACTAAGGTACAATCGAAGTTTAATATCAATATTCCTGTCAGTAAAACAAGTAAACACGGGCAAACGACCATGGCTCTTCCGGATAAGTTGTTTGTTATAGATCTTACTATTTATTTGGATGTTCAAAAGAATCCTGGTCCTGAAATAGAAACTTCATTTGCTAGACGGAATGTGACTCAAATGCATTTGACTTTACCGGCAGGTAATGAGGAAGTAATTAACAGTCAGATGAACCACGTTTTGGCATCTGAAATGCTTAATGAAAGGCCATACATTCATCGAGTACATGAAAAAACATTGCTTACATTTGGAATACATCGAATTCCTACATTATATACAACAAGTAGACGGCATGAGTCTCGTCCTAAGAATTATGGTGCTAATCTCAATAATCTTATAAATATTAAACTTAATAGTGATCATGGTACTGAGACTATGGATAGTAATCGTTTACATATTGCTTTACTTAATGTCCGGTCCTTAAACAACAAAGCTCTATTTCTAAAAGATTGGGTTGTTGAACATCAAATAGACTTATTGGCTATAACTGAAACTTGGTTGGATTTGGATTATCGATCGGAAAATACAATAAATGAACTTTGCCCCAAGGGGTATGCAATGATGCATATCCCGCGAAATGGTTGCCAAGGAGAAGGTGTAGGCCTATTGTATAATAAACTTTATAAAATGGAATTGCAAAGAATGGTTAATTATTCATTTTTTGAGTACATGGAAACTTTGCTCAGATCACCTGCAACTGCTCTAAGAATTGTTGTACTATACCGACCTCCTCCATCTACAAAAAATGGGATCACGACGGCTGTGTTTTTCAAAGAATTCTCTGAGCTACTTGAGCGATTAGTAACATCCAGTGGTAATCTCATTTTACTGGGAGATTTTAATTTCCATGTTGATGATGAAACAAACATACAAGCAGCTACATTTCTTGATTTACTTGATTCTCATAATCTAATACAACATGTTAGAGGACCGACTCATAAAGATAATCGCACCCTTGACTTGGTCATCACTAGAGAATATGAAAACATAATTCACAACTGGTCAATTTCGAATCCTTATCTATCTGATCATGAAGCTATTCATATGAAACTCTCCCTTGATAAACCTCGTCTACCAAGACTTAAAAAACTATACCGCAAATTACGGAGTGTTGATACTACTTCTTTTCGAAATGATGTTATTAAATCTACCCTCTTTTCTGCGCCGGCAAGTAATGTTGATGAACTATGTGATCAGTATGAAAGTGAATTGGGCAAGATCGTTAATTTTCATGCTCCTTTAAAGACGTGTTTGATATCCTCACGACCGTCAGTGCCATGGTATTCTGAAGAAATCTCTGTAGAAAAAATGTAAACGACGTCAGCTTGAAAGACGCTGGCGTAAATCTGGATTGGAAATTGATAAAAAGAATCATGCAAACCAATGCAGAAGGGTTAGGGAACTCATTAAATCGTCGAATATGAACTACTATTCTTCCATTATTGTTGAAAACAAATATAATTTTAAGATTTTATTTAGTACAATTGATCGAATGTTACACTGCACTCCAGAAAAACATTACCCTATATGTAGCTCCACTGCTGAGCTGTGTAACAAGTTTGCAGATTTTTTTACACAAAAGATTATGACCATAAGGCAACATCTGGATGTAGTGCCAAGAGCTGACTTCTTGAAATACGAACAATTTGATAAAGCTACCATCAATTGTGAGTTGACTGATTTTTCTTCAACGTCAGATGAGGAACTTGCTGGGTTGGTGAAGAAGATTGCATCCAAATCATGCTGTCTTGATCCTATACCAGCATTACTTCTTCAGTATTGTATTGGTGATTTATTGCCTTTCATTAGGAGAGTAGTGAATATGTCATTTGATAAATCTGTAGTACCTACAACCATGAAGAAGGCAGTACTATGTCCCTCATTGAAGAAAGTATCATTGGATTTTGAGGATTTTTCTAATTTTAGGCCAGTTTCAAATTTGAAGTTTTTGTCGAAAGTTACGGAGAAGGTTGCAGCAGTACGCTTATGGGACTATCTTGATGAAAATGGCTTAAATGAGACCTTCCAGTCAGCATACAAGAAACATCATAGCTGTGAAACAGCATTAACACGTGTACAGAATGATATATTAACAGCTATTGATAATAAGCAATGTGTTGCACTATTACTTCTAGATCTATCAGCGGCTTTTGACACGGTTGACCATGACATTTTGTTACACAGACTGCGATCTAAATTTGGCATCAAAGGAAAGGCTTATGAATGGTTTCGTTCATATCTAACAAATCGGACACAATCGGTCAGGATTAATGATACTGATTCACCAATTTGCCCCCTGGTTTGTGGAGTCCCACAGGGTTCAGTTTTGGGGCCCATGTTATTTTTATTATATGTGTTACCTTTGGGAGATATAATAAGGAAACATGATATGTCATTTCATCAATATGCAGATGATAACCAACTGTACACCACGTTTGCGTGTGATGATGATGATGAGCTTTATTCTGTCACTTCTCGAGTGGAACACTGTCTTGCTGACATCACTAATTGGATGACTTGTAATAAACTTAAATTAAACCCAGATAAAACGGACTTTTTAATTTTTCATTCCACATATAGACTGATGTCTTTGTGGCCATCTATCACTGTTGGAAATGAAATTATAGAACCCAAAGATAAAGCAAAAAACATTGGGGTAACATTTGATACTACCTTAACAATGTCACATCATATAAAGGATGTAGTTAAAGGAGCATTTTATCATCTTAGAAATATCGCTAAAATCAGAAACTACATTGATGCAGATACTACAGAAGTTCTTGTGCATGCCTTTGTCACTTCAAAGCTTGACTTTTGTAACTTACTTTTTTATGGTCTCCCGAAGTATGAAATTAATAAGCTACAAAATGTTCAGAATGCGGCAGCCAGAGTCATAGCTGGTCTGCGGAAATATGACCATATTACTCCAACTCTCAAGAAGCTTCACTGGTTACCAGTACAACAAAGAATAATTTTTAAGATTAACCTAATGTGCTTCAAAATAATGAATAACATGGCACCGAAATATCTACAAGATCTCTTATGTCGCCATAAGCCGACAAGGTGTCTTCGGTCCTCTTCTGATAAATGGCGTTTCACAGAACAACGCTATAATTTAAAGACATATGGATACAGGGCTTTTTCAATTGCAGCACCAAGAATCTGGAACATGCTCCCAATGGATATTAGAGCAATTAATAAGATTAACAGTTTTAAAACTGCCTTGAAAACTCATCTTTTTAAGCAAACTTATGACATTAGTTTTAATTAAAATTTTTAGGTATCCTAGTTAAGATACACATTATTAATACTTTTAATATGTATTTAGCATCTTACTTATTCATATGAATTCTGTAAAGATGTTGTAAAGCGCTTAGAACAGTAATGTATAGGCGCTATATAAGTATTATTATTATTATATTATTATTGTAAATAGAACCGGATGTAAATAGAACCGGATGTGAATAGAACCGGAAGTTAGATCTTAGATCATAGTTTTGATTGACATTTCAAACTGTTATTAAAAGCTAACCTGATATTTAAGATATAAGCTAACCTAAAACGATGTAGCTGAGATGTAAACGTGGAAGCCCCACAGAAGTGAGTACAGATGATATGTTTTGTAAATAGAGAAACACATTAACGTTATAACGGTCATAATATTATTTATCTTTAGATCGAACAAAAATTATTATACATTTCGGTGTAAACCACGTTTATTCAAGGCTGTCGCGCTCGGAGCGCTCCAGCTGCCATTAACGCACGAGTTGTATTGCGCAGGCTGCGTAATAGAAAATAACTACTGTTGCATGTTGTTTATCTTTCTACGTTTATATTTTTATCTTTTTAACGATTACGTTTGCGATTGAAAAAAAAGGAACAGAAGTATAAGAAAAACCTTTGGGTTAGAAAGATTTTCTAAGAGAAAGAGGAGAAGAGTGAGTACTACATACTGGTTCGGGAAATGGAATAAATTAATAAGGAGTATTTTTTAAAACATTTCGTATGAGTCCAAAAACTTTCGAACGTCTGTTGTAATGGGTGGCTCCTTTATTAGCAAAATAATCACTTACGTAGTGTGGAATCTCCTGCAGAAAGGTTATGCGTCATCTTGCATTACATTTGCGGAAAGCACG